GGGGCGGGGCAGCTGGGCTGCTGCTGGGTTGGTCCTGCAGCGCTGAGGGGCGCATCCCCCCCCACTCCACCCCAGACCTCTCATAGCCCCCTCCTTCCAATAGTCCAGCATATCTGATAATCTGGAACCCCCTGGGTCCTAAAGGTGCCAGATTATCGGAAGTTTACTGTAGTTCATACTATGTTTGTGGCAGAAAAGGGGGGGCCAGTGGAGGAATGCAAAGATGGAAGTGACTTGGTCAAAGCAACAAGCCTGGAAAATGATTTTTGCTGTAGTGTTTTTCATGGATATAAGTGAAGTAAGACCAAAAGGGAGTTTGTAGCAGTGGAGATACAAGACAATGAGCCCTTGGACTGGGGATGTAAAGTGTCAGTTAACATTTGCATCAACTGTTCATAAAAACATAAGAATATAGGAATGGCCATACCGGGTCAGACCAAAGGTCCATCCAGCCAGTATCCTGTCTGCCGACAGTGGCCAATGTCAGGTACTCCAGAGGGAGTGAACCCAACAGGAAATGATCAAGCAATCCCTCTCCTGCCATCCATCTCCACCTTCTGACAAACGGAGGCTAGGGACACCATTCCTTATCCATCCTGGCTAATAGCCATTAATGGACTTAACCTCCGTGAATGTATCTAGTTCTCTTTTAAACCCTGTTATAATCCTAGCCTTCACGACCTCCTCAGGCAAGGAGTTCCACAGGTAGACTGTGTGCTGTGTGAAGAAGAACTTCCTTTTATTTGTTTTAAACCTGTTGCCCATTAATTTAATTTGGTGGCCCCTAGTTCTTATATTATGGGAACAAGTAAATAACTTTTCCTTATTCACTTTCTCCACACCACTCTTGATTTTATAGACCTCTATCATATCCCCCCCTTAGTCTCCTCTTTTCCAAGCTGAAAAGTCCTAGTCCCTTTAATCGCTCCTCATATGGGACCTGTTCCAAACCCCTAATCATTTTAGTTGCCCTTCTCTGAACCTTTTCTAATGCCAGTATATCTTTTTTGAGATAAGGAGACCACTCAAGATGTGGGTATACCATGGATTTATATAAGGGCAAGAAGATATTCTCCATCTTATTCTCTACCCCTTTTTTAATGATTCCTAACATCCTATTTGCTTTTTTGCAATTAGTCAATACAGGTGCCTCTGCCTTTGAAATGTAGCAACAGCCCCAGGGCTGTTGCTACACTTCAAAGGTGAAAGCACTGCAGGGAGCAGTCCCCCACTGGCCCCATGCTCCCTGAGGCAGTGCTGCATGGAAATGCCATGGGGAGCCTGGTGTCAGGCATTTGGTTATCGGACAGTTCAGTGGTGCTCAACCTATTTTTATTTACAACCCCTGGGGGGGCCACCGAATTCTTTTAATTCTCAAGTTGCTCTCCTGCCACTTCCCCACCCCTGACACATGTACGTTGGGCACTGAGCCGGGAAGCCAGGAAAAGCAGCTGGATGGATCCAAGCGCTGCGACCCCCCAGGAAGGCAGCCATGACCCCCCCACGGGTTGTGTACCACTGGGATAGTTGACTAGTCGTTCACATCCCTAGCCTGGACAAGAATTTCAGCTGTATAGACTGAAACGAAAGGCTGAATCTTGGCAATGTACAGAAATGGTTGGGCACTGAGCCGGGAAGCCAGGAAAAGCAGCTGGATGGATCCAAGCGCTGCGACCCCCCAGGAAGGCAGCCATGACCCCCCCACGGGTTGTGTACCACTGGGATAGTTGACTAGTCGTTCACATCCCTAGCCTGGACAAGAATTTCAGCTGTATAGACTGAAACGAAAGGCTGAATCTTGGCAATGTACAGAAATGAGGTGCAAGATTTAGACACTATTCTGATGTGTTGTAAAGCACTGAGCTGAAGATGATACCTACGTTCTAGGCCTGAGTGACAGGGAGAGGATAGTGCTGTCCACCGTGATTGTG